CCTCCTCCTCCTCCTCCTCCTCCTCCTCCTCCTAGGCAATGGAACCTCGGAGACATCAGGGCCCCGGCCATGTTGCTCCCCCCGTGGTCGCTGCCCCCCCTCCTTGGACGCCCTCGAAGAAGGTATCGGGCGCAGCAGTCGTTCCAGAGCGTTCTGGAATGCTCTGAGTAGAGGAAGACACAAAAACACCATAAGCAGAGAGCTTTGGCGCTCCGCGCGGATGTCTTGGATCTGCGCAGGCCCCCCACCCCTCTCCCTGGCGCGCGGAGCGCGCCAGGGGCGGCGCTGGAGGCGCCGCCAGGGGGGTCCCCAGGCGCGGATCCACGAAATCCGCGCGGAGAGCCAGAAGTGTATGTACATGTGGTCGCTTCTTCTTCGGAGCAGTGGCATCGGGCGTCGCAGTCGCCCCAGAGCGTCCTGCAACGCTCTGAGGGCGTTGCGCAGAACGCTCTGGAACTGCGGCCCGCGTGCTGCCAGAAAGGGGGTCGCTGTGGAGGAGTAGCGACGGGGCTCTCCTACGACCACGGCGAACCCCGGCCACGCACATATGGGTTCCCCGACCTGGATCCGGGTGGCCCAAAAGAAGGGGGTCCAGCTGCAAGGGTATGGTGCAACAGACTTGGGGCAATGGTCTTGCAAATGTGTTGCCCCCGAGGGTTGCCTTACAGATTGTATTACCACGGGTGCACTGCACGCGACTCCAGCAATACACTTGCGCCCCGGAAGGTGCTGCACGCCCCGGGTGTATCGCAACCCCGCAAATCTATCGCAACAGATCTGTTGCACCACCCCTTTGTCGCGGGACCCCTCTTTGGGTCAACCCGACCTAGATCTGAGGAGCGGCCCGAAAACCCGGACCCCTCCTGAGCCCCAAACGGTCCCTACTTCACCGTCTTGGCTGTATTCTTAGGTCGGGCGCGTCCTCCTACAGGCGGATTCTGGATGACAAATACGAGCAAGCAATATTCAAAAGTGACTTGAAAACGTTTAAACATAGTCTCCATAACATTGCTTGGCCACTTTTGAATACTCCTCCTGTGGAGGGGTGTGCCCGACTTGACTGTATTTATGTGTTCGTCTTGGGCCCGTCTCGCGGACAACCCCGGGCGGCTTCGGCACCTCAACCTGGCGGCGCTGGGGACCCAAGCGAGCGCCACCAATGAAGGGGCCCCAGGACACACAAATAAATACACACAAATAAAAATATTCCCCATATTTTCCCATATTTTCGGGGTTTCTGTCTTCCCCCCCCACTTCCCATATTTTCCCATATTTTCCTGGGAATCGACGATTAATTGTGTCTGTGTTTTTTTCCCCTCCTGAAGGGTGCACGGCAAGGATGCGAGGGCCTTGGAAGGCCATGCCGACACTCTGCGGGCGGAGCGCGGCCAGCGAGGGCGGCCAGGGGCAGGCCGAAGGGGAAGGCTGCAAGGGGGAACCTTTTTTAATATTCATTGTTATTGTTAGCATGTGTAGTATTATAGTTTATTATTTACTTGTTTTATTTGTCGCAGTATTGATATATATATATATATAAATATACAAGCATATATACATATATAATTATATATATGCATATATATAGACATATAATATATATATTATAGATAATATAGTATGAATATATGTATATGTATGTGTATATATATATTAAGATATATATATTGTTTTTTTTTATTTGGAAGGTTGCTCGTCCCTTCTGTGCGGGTTGCCTGCACCTCTTGGGGGGGCTCTCTCTCTGCGCAGGCCCTGGAGCCTCACGCGCACGGCCAGCGCAGAGACGCAGCCCTGCGGCGCCCCTGCGGCATCCTGAGCAGACGAAGCGCAAAGATAGCGGAGCCTCGAGAAGCGCGAGCCTCCAGAGGCCCCTGCCCGGACCCGCGGCGCGCAAATACAGCCCACGGCCAGAGACGCATCAGAAAGACGGGGTCCAGGGGAGAGCAGGAGCCCAGCGCACGGGAGAAGCACAAGCGTCGGAGGCGTGGAGGGGGGCCCCTCCGCGCTCGCCGCACGCAGCAACGACGCCTCCGCGTCACTGCACTGGCGCTCCTGCCCTGCTCCCCCCCCGCTCCTGCTGCCACTGCTCAGCGTCTGCGCCGCCCGTCGTGGACGCCAACCCCAGTGTCCAGCCTCCTCCTCCTCCTCCTCCTCCTCCTCCTCCTCCTCCTCCTCCTCCTCCTCCCCGCGGACACGTGCATCTCGGGGTGCTCTGCAGCCCGCCGTCGCCGAGGATACGCCAGAGGGCTTCCCGAGGCGAGGGCCTCAAACTGTACCGTGGCGACCGGCCGGCGGGAGCCTATCGTGCTCGAAGCACGCCTCGGCAGAGCGTGTTTGGCTTCACCGCGCCCTGCTTCCCCAAGACTGGCCAGGAGCGGCTCTGGCCGCCGTGCTGCCACCTGCGAGACGCACACCGACGAGTGGTGTCCCACCCTCTTCCTCGGGAGCGGCCAAGAAAGGGGTGCCCAAGAGGGGGGGTGCAAGTCATGACCGGCGGCATGTGCGCGGCCCAGCGGGGGGGCCAGGGACGTCATGAAGTAAGAAGAGGCGCCATGAAATCTGGGGAAACATCATGGCCCCCGCCATATGATCTCCCCCCCCCCTCTAGTCATCACCGCCCTCTTGGCCGCCCCCGATCTTCCCACCTCCCGGCTGCGAGGACGACCGGTGCGGGAGCGGCGGGACGGCTCCACGGCCCGCCCTCCTCCCGATCGCAGCCGAGTGCCGCCCCCTCAGGGACGAGGGGCCGCCTTCTCCAGGACGAGGACGGCATCGGACGGCACATCTATCACCTCGGACCGGCCACACGCTGAGTCTTGATCAAGGGGTGGGCGAAGAGAAGAATCCTCCTCCTCCTCCTCCTCCTCCTCTCCCTCCTGTTCCTCCTCCTCCTCCTCCTGCTCCTCCCTCCTCCTCCTCCTCCTCCTCCTCCTCCTCCTCCTCCTCCTCCTCCTCCTCCTCCCCCTCCCCCTCCCCCTCCCCCTCCCCCATTCCGCGCCGCGCCCCCGCGCGCGCTCGGGGGGCGAGCGACAGAGCAGCAACAAACACATACCAACACGTATGACATGACCAGCCTCGAACGTATCCCTATCCCTAAGATTGACACGCCAAAAGGCAATGACAATCTTAGGGATTCGCCCTCAAAAAATAAGGGAATCCCTAAGATTGGCATGGTGATTAGGAGGTGCCCAGCATAGGGATAGGGATATGTTCCAGGCTGGTAATAACAGAAACACCGATGCCGCTCGCCCCCGTCCGAAGACGCCCCGTCGTCCAGCGCCTCGGCCGTCCTGAGAGTAGGGACAGGCCCGAGACCGCCATCCTGGCCGCGCCCTCGCCTCTCCGGGGGCCTCCTGGGAGGCCCTCGCCGCCACCGCCGAACTCGCCTCGGGACTCTGGTCCAAGCGCGCCCCGGGAAGAGGTCAGGAGAGTAGCGGCAAAACACATAACCACAAGAAAAACATGTGGGTATTTTCTGTTTTTTTTTGCGGGCGCAGCCCGTAATTTGATTCTCGCGAGATAGACAGACAGACTGAACTGAACCACCAGGCCGTTAGATGGCAGTTTTGTTTCCGCGGTTGAGGATGTTTCGGTGGCAGTTTCAAGCCAGAGGGTGAGGATATTTCGAAGGCAGTTTCAAGCCAGCGGGTGAGGATATTTCGGTGGCAGTTTTGTTTCCGCGGGTGAGGATATTTCGGTGGCAGTTTCAAGCCAGCGGGTGAGGATATTTCGGTGGCAGTTTCAAGCCAGAGGGTGAGGGTATTTCGAAGGCAGTTTCAAGCCATCGGGTGAGGATATTCGGTGGCAGTTTTAAGCCAGCGGGTGAGGATATTTCGGTGGCAGTGTTAGCCCATCGGGTGAGGATATTTCGGTGGCAGTTTTAAGCCAGAGGGTGAGGGTATTTCGGTGGCAGTTTTAAGCCAGCGGGTAAGGATATGTCGGTGGCAGTTTTAAGCCAGCCGGTGAGGATATTTCGGTGGCAGCTTTAAGCCATCGGGTCAGGATATTCCGGTGGCAGTTTTAAGCCAGAGGGTGAGGATATGTCGGTGGCAGTTTTCAGCCAGCGGGTGAGGATGTTTCGGTGGCAGTTTTAACCCAGCGGGTGAGGATAGTTCGGTGGCAGTTTTAAGCCAGCCGGTGAGGATATTTCGAAGGCAGTTTTAAGCCAACAGGTGAGATATTTCGGTGGCAGAGCCAGCGGGTGAGGATGTTTCGGTGGCAGTTTTAAGCCAGCGGGTGAGGATATTTCGAAGGCAGTTTTATTTCCGCGGGTGAGGATATTTCGGTGGCAGTTTCAAGCCATCGGGTGAGGATATTTCGGTGGTAATTTCAAGCCAGAGGGTGAGGGTATTTCGAAGGCAGTTTCAAGCCAGCGGGTGAGGATATTTCGGTGGCAGTTTTGTTTCCGCGGGTGAGGATACTACGGTGGCAGTTTTAATCCAGCGGGTGAGGATATGTCGGTGGCAGTTTTAAGCCTGCGGGGGAGGAGGGAGAGGAGGAGGAAGAGGAGGAGGAGGAGGAGGAGAAGGAGGAGGAGGAGGAGGAGGGAGGAACCGAGAAGAGCTGTGCTGGGCGCGGGCATCCAGCCGCCTCGCGATGCATCATTCGCTTGGTTGGCCCAGCCGACGTCTACGCATCCAGCGCGGTGCTTCGCCCGCATATATGCTCGCCTCTTGGCGTGGGGCTGGTGGGAGGCCAAGGGGCGAGCTGTCCGGTGATTGTCGTTTCTTTTCTTTTGCTTTTTTCCCCAGCCATCCTGTGGTGTTGGGTCCTCGTTTAGAATAGACAGCGCCACGCGTCTCCTCCTTCCTTCCTTCCTCCTCCCCCTCCTCCCTTCTCCGTCCTCCCTCCTCCCCCTCCTCCTCCTTGCCTTTGCTCTCGGCACACCTCGCACACGTTTCGTAGCCCCATAGGGAGCTCCACCGAAGGTCCCAGTGGCACAGCCCGCATGCGGTTCCCTCACCCAGGGCAGCGCTTCGTGGCCCCATCGGGAGCTCCACCGAACGCCCCAGTGGGGGGGGGGCGCATGCGGTTCCCCCACCCAGGGCAGCGTTTCGTGACCCCATAGGGAGCTCCAGCGAAGGCCCCAGTGGCTGCTCTCGCATGCGGTTCCCCCACCCAGGGCAGCGTTTCGTGTCCCCATAGGGAGCTCCACCGAAGGCCCCAGTGGGGGTGCCCGCATGCGGTTCCCCTACCCAGGGCAGCGTTTTGTGACCCCATAGGGAGCTCCACCGTAGGCCCCAGTGGCTGCTCTCGCATGAGGTTCCCCCACCCAGGGCAGCGTTTCGTGGCCCCATAGGGAGACCGCCGATATGGGCGTCGACATGCATACGCGTAGACTCACTCGCACGCAGACTCATGCACAATCAGACCCACTCGTGCTCATACTCACCCGCTCTCAGGCTCTCGTTATCAGACCAATCGTCTTCTTCCGTTTTGCGTACCCCGCCACGCATCGGCACGCCCCTCACACCGTTCTTGGCCTCATAAGGAACTCCACCAACGGCCCCAGTTGCAGGGTCCGCATGCCGCCCCCCGCCCATTACGGCACACCATTTGCACGTTTCGTGGCCCCATCGGGAGCTCCACCGAAGGCCCCAGTAGCAGGGTTCGCATGCGTCCGCGCTACCCAGTACAGCGTTTCGTGGCCCCATGGGGAGCTCCACCGAAGGCCCCAGTGGCTGCATTCGTATGCGTCTCCCCACCCAGGACACCATTTCGTGGCCCCATAGGGAACCCCACCGAATGCGTTGCTCACAAAGACGGTACTCACAACTGCATGTGGTTGGGTCCTTCGCCAGGCGAATTAAAAAACGATATATATATATATACACATAGTTATATCCCTCGACGCGCCCGCGTGCTCCGACGCACCGGGCCGCCAAGGCCAGCGACGCGGGCGCGCTCGCGGCGTGCAGCGACCGGATCCCGCTACCAAAAATGAAGCCTCAGAAGCTGGCCCACGACCAAAAATGTGGAGCCCACAGAGGACGTACGCGCCCAGCTGTGTGCATGAGCACGGCCCCTCGATCCGCGAGACTGGCAGCGTGATGCGAACACTCGGGCAATGCGTACTCTCGAAAACAACGTGGACTCATGTACGTGTACGTCCTTCCGCCGCTCCTGAAAAGAGAAGCATCATAGCTTCTACGTCAGTACACAAGACTGATCACCTAACGGATCCAACTCATCCTCCACTCGTTGGCATCAAACTCACCATGCGCAGCAGCATGCTCGCCCCGGCGTCATATGATTCTTGCACGGCGTCGGCACCCAGAGGGCCCGACCCCTCCCCCATGACCGGCTGCTCCTACCGAGTCGTGCTCCTTGGCGGCCCCGAGGCCCGGCAGGGGCCCCCCAGAGGCTGAAGATGGCGAACCACCTCCCGTCGCGATTCTTTCAGAACTCGAGGGGGTCTGGGATCTGGTCCTCCGTGTGGCATAAAGTCGGGCGTGTACCTCCACAGGAGGAAAATCCAAAAATGGTGAAAATTATGCTAACGGAGTTCCCCACATAAAGATATTAACGGTTTCGTGGGACCCATGGGGTACGACAACATCAACACGAAGGAGAAGTTCATCGAACGAGCAAGTACGCACGAAAGGGCAAACGAAAGAAAGGAGGAGGGAGGACAGGTGCTCAGGAAACGAAGCCTTGTAAATAATACGGTTTCTTGATACCCTCCTCGCTCTGGCGGGGCCCCGCTGGAGGGGGGGAGGGCTACGAAACCTGGTAAAGAGCAATGCTTTCCGCGACCCTCCTCGTTCAAGTGCGGCCTCTCTGGAGGAGTGGAGGTGGGACTCAGTGCGACCATATTGGCCTGGTCTGTCACGCGGACTCCCAACTCTGAGAGCTCTACTCGAACTTCGACTGCGAATGGTGTGGGCAAAAGGTCGTCACACCAGTCTCATCGCGCGAGCACTCTGGAGCGGCGTCGCCGCGCGCGCATGACGAAATCCTTTTCAAAGCCATTGGGTTTCTGAGCATTCTAAGATATAGCTCTTGAAACACATATGAAAACCCAGTTGCGATTCCAAAAAAACCTGCCAGATGTATTGAACTTCAGTTTCCTCACCAATGCCACGCCCATGGGGCGCCTGTCCTAGGCTCAGCGACCTTGCAGACATGTAAGGAGCTCCGGCACACAGACTCTCAATCCCACCAGCCCTCTGGGCGTTGGTGGTTTCCTCGCTCAGGCGGGGCCTCCCTGAAGGGGTGGGAGGGGCACGAAACCGTGTAAAGAGTATGGTTTTCCGATACCCTCCTCGCTCAGGCGGGGCCTCTCTGGAGGGGTGGGAGGGGCACGAAACCATGTAAATAGTATGGTTTTCGGATACCCTCCTCGCTCAGGCGGGGCCTCCCTGGAGGTGTGGGAGGGGCACGAAACCATGTAACTAGTATGGTTTTCCGATACCCTCCTCGCTCAGGCGGGGCCTCCCTGGAGGGGTGGGAGGGGCACGAAACCATGTAAATAGTATGGTATTCCGATACCCTCCTCGCTCAGGCGGGGCCTCCCTGGAGGGGTGGGAGGGGCACGAAACCATGTAAATAGTATGGTATTCCGATACCATCCTCGCTCAGGCGGGGCCTCCCTGGAGGGGTGGGAGGGGCACGAAACCATGTAAATAGTATGGTTGTCGGATACCCTCCTCGCTCAGGCGGGGCCTCCCTGGAGGTGTGGGAGGGGCATGAAACCATGTAAATAGTTTGGTTTTCCGATACCCTCCTCGCTCAGGCGGGGCCTCCCTGGAGGGGTGGGAGGGGCACGAAACAATGTAAATAGTATGGTTTTCCGATACCCTCCTCGCTCAGGCTGGGCCTCCCTGCAGGGGTGGGAGGGGCACGAAACCATGTAAATAGTATGGTTTTCCGATACGCTCCTCGCTCAGGCGGGGCCTGCCTGGAGGGGTGGGAGGGGCACGAAACCATGTAAATAGTATGGTATTCCGATACCCTCCTCGCTCAGGCGGGGCCTCCCTGGAGGGTTGGGAGGGGCACGAAACCATGTAAATAGTATGGTTTTGCCTCCCTGGAGAGGTGGGATGGGGCACGAAACCATGTAAATAGTATGGTTTTCGGATACCCTCCTCGCTCAGGCGGGGCCTCCCTGGAGAGGTGGGAGGGGCACGAAACCATGTAAATAGTATGGTTTTCGGATACCCTCCTCGCTCAGGCGGGGCCTCCCTGGAGGTGTGGGAGGGGCACGAAACCATGTAAATAGTAAAATAGTATGGTTTGCGGATACCCTCCTCGCTCAGGCGGGGCCTCCCTGGAGGGGTGGCAGGGGCACGAAAACCATGTAAGTAGTCACATATCACCCGCCTCGCCTACCCCCCCTCTTCCGTACATATAGGTTTTTCACGATACCCCTCCTCGCGCGGGCGGGCCTCCATGCAGGGGTGGAGGGGGCACGAAACCATGTAAGTAGTAATGTTTTCGGTATGGAGCACCTCGCTCAGGCGGGTGCCTCCCTGGAAGAGGTGGGTAGGGGCAACGAAACCAATTAAATCTAGTTATGGTTTTCGGATACCCTACCTCGCTCAGGCGGCGGCCTCCCTGGAAGGGGTGTTGAGGGGCACGGAGAAACCATGTAAATAGTTTTAAACGTCAACCGCCCATGTTTCGGGTCACCGCCTCGCTCAGGCGGGGCCTCCCTGGAGGTGTGGGAGGGGCACGAAACCAGGTAAATAGTAGGTATGGTATGGTACGGTATGGTATGATATGGTATGGTATGGTACTGGAGGTATGGTATGGTATGGTACGGTGTGGCATTGGTGTGATATGGTATGGTATGCTATGGTACGCCATGGTATGGTATGGTACGGTATGGTACGTATGGTGTGGTATGGTATGGTATGGTATGGTATGGTATGTGTGGTAGGAACTATGGTATGGTATGGTGTGTGTGGTAGGAATAATATTGTGCTGTATGGAAGATGGAGCGGGAGGTGGGTGGGAAGGAGAGGGTGTTCTGGGAAAACAAGAACCCCACTCAGGATGTGGGGAAATACTATGGGGTGTTGACTACCTCTTGGCACACCTTTGAATACTGGTTGGCTCATTGCTACTCTTCGTCCCAAAATCCGCCTGCAGGAGGACATGCCTGACCTACCGCAAATCCCTTATTAATCGCCCCCCCCTAAAAAACCGGACCTCCCTCCAAATGCGACCTACTATTCCGGACCCCCCTTCTTCGACGGGGCGCCTTCCTACACGGGACCCCCTGAGCTCCAATCCAAAGAGGGCGCCCAGATAAACCGGACCCCCCCCCCCCGGTCCCAAAAAAGGCGCCTCAAAAAACCCGACCCCAGGGGGACGATGAACACGGGACTGGGAGCATATGTGCCGCACCCGGTGGCGCGCGGTCACCCGCGGCCACCTTGCGATGCGGGGCCCGCCACGACCAGGGCCCCGAGCGCGCCCGCAGCGCCCGCCCCGACGCGCCCTCGGGCGGGCCGCCCCCCCCCCCCCCCCCCCCCCGCGCGGGGGGCGGCGCGGAGTTGCGCCGGCGCCGCGGCGCTCGGCCCAGATCTCTGGAGAGCTCGCAGAGGGCTTGCTGGGCTTGTTGTCCACCACCACCACCATGAGTTGGAAGGGGGGGAAGGAGGAGTAGGGAGGAGGAGGAGGAGGAGGAGGAGGTGGAGGAGGAGGAGGAGGAGGAGGAGGAGGGGAGGAGGAGGAGGTAAGGAGGAGAGAGGATGGAGGAGGAAGGAAGGAGGAGGAGGAGGAGGAGGAGGAGGAGGAGGAGGAGGACCCCCTCCCCCTCCAACTTGTGGCGGCGGTCGTGGACAACAAGCCCTTCAGAGCTGGGAGGGTTTCAGATTGAGGAGCCGGAGCCGCAGGGCAGCACCGGAAGTCGCCCCGGCTTCCGTCCAGGATCCTCGAGCGGGGCTTGCCTGCGCCGGCAGCGGGTCCCGCGGGGCCTGTCCTGAGCGTTTCCTAGCACGCGTCGCCGGGAGCTCTCCAGAAGGTCCTTCGGAAGCTCCCTCCAGGTCCTTCCAGAGTTCTTCGGCTCGGCAGGCCTTTCCACGCCCTTCGGCCGCCCTGCTGTCTTGGCTCGAGACCCCACAAGTCGCAATCGTAATCGCATCGTGGCGGAGAGCTTGCCCCACGTCGGATCGGCAGGCGCGGCGATGCCATGCGCAGCGGATGGAGCCGGATCGGGTCGAGGGCGGCGCTGGGCGCCCCACGGCGTTGGGGGGGGGAGGAAGGCCCCCCTTCGGGTCGTGAGAGCATCGCGACGGGAGGCTTTTTCCACACTTTCGGCGGAGGGGCCCCTTGCCGGGCCTCGGAGCCGTCAAAAGACGGCTCGGGCCACGGGCAGCTGCGCACGGCTGCTTCCCCCGGGGAAGGAGGAGAAATGAGGAGGAGGAGCAAGGAGGAGAAATGAGGAGGAGGAGCAAGAGGAGGAGGAGGAGGAGGAGGAGGAGGAGGAGGAGGAGGGAGGAGGAGGAGGAGGAGGAGGAGGTAGGAGGACGAAGGAGGAGGAGGAGGAGGACGGAGGAGGAGGAGTGGAGGAGATGGAGGAGGAGGAGGGAGGAGCAAGAGGAGGAGGTGGAGGCAGGAGGAGGAGGAGGAGGAGTGAGGAGGAGGAGGAGGAGGAGGAGGAGGAGAGAGGACGGGTCGCCTAAGCCGTTCGGAGAAAGCCTCCGCGGGAAGCTGGGGGTCGACGCTGCGAGAGAAGCACGATGCCGGGGGGTCTGGGCACGCGGCGCCAGGCCCGCGAGCTCGCTCCCGTCGCTAGGCGTTCGGGCGCGTCCACCCCCCTTTGCACTTGTCGATGTCGTGCGTGTGCTTTTCTTAGGGGAACAAAAAGTGCCATAAACATAAAAAAACTCAGAGGTCCGCGCGGATTTCTCATATCGGCGCTGGGGCCCCCCGGCGGCGCCACTGGCGCCGCCCCTGGCGCGCTCCGCGCGCCAGGGAGGGGGGTCCAGCGCCGATCCGAGAAATCCGCGCGGACCTCCGAGTTATGTTTATGCCACTTTTAGTTCCCCCATTTCTGCTCCACGATCGAGGATGCTCCTCGATGGGTCCTCGCCGAGGAAAAAAGGGCACACGCCCGCGCGACGCCACGTCCCCTGCTCGCCGGAGCCGCGCAGCGGAGCGCCCGGGTCGTCCGGGGACGCATGTCGCCGCGCGCACCCGGGGGGGGGGGCGCGCGGAGAGTCGGGCCACGAGGCGGCAGGCTTGAGTCAAAAGGGCTTACGCAGGGGAACAAAAAGTGCCATAAACATAAAAACTCAGAGGTCCGCGCGGATTTCTCTATCGGCGCTGGGGCCCCCCGGCGGTGCCCTGGCGCGCTCCGCGCGCCAGGGAGGGGGGTCCAGCGCCGATCCGAGAAATCCGCGCGGACCTCAGAGTTTTTAAATTTATGGCACTTTTTTGTTCCCCTATACGGGCATCCAGACACCGAAGCTCGATGCCGAAAGGCTGCCCCCTCCACTTCAGGACCCGGCCAGGCTGCCGGCCAAAGAATCCAGCCGTGGCAGCGAGGGCGCCTCAGCAGGCCCCGAGCTGGCGCCCTCGAGCCTCAAGCCTCGATCCTCGAGCCTCGATCCTCGAACGAGGACGACGACGACGGCGGCGACGGCGAGGAGGACAGCCAGGACGACGCCGATGTCGACGACGACGATGCCGGCGTCGACGGCGACGACCTCGACGACGGCGTCGACGCCGGCAGGGCGCGGCCGAGCCCGCCGCACTGGGCACCGCCAGGCGCGGGAGCAGCGACCGGCCTACGCCAAAGGCGCGCTCCACGTGGCCGCTCACCTCTGCGGGGGGGGGGGCGCGGCCGTCTCGCGGGGCGCAGGGCAGGCTCGCGCCGTGCCGGGCCTGGCGGTGCTCTCCGACACCGCGTGGATCGTGCAGCTTTGAACGACCGCTCCCTCGCTCCTCCTCCTCCTCCTCCTCCTCCTCCTCCTCCTCCTCCTCCTCCTCCTCCGCCTCCTCCTCCCTCTCCTCCTTCTCCCTTCCTTCTCATCTCTCTATCCTATCCTCCTCTCACCATCCTCCTCCTCTTCTCCCCTCCTCCTCCTCCTCCCCTCCTCCTCCTTCTCCTCCTCCTCCTCCTCCTCTTCCTCCTCCTCCTCCTTCACCACTGCCTGTTCCTCCATCATCTCCCCCCCCCCGAAACCGTCAGCTGATTCCATCTGGGCCGGTTCTGGGCCGCTGGCGGCGTTCAGCCTTGACTGCTCGTGTCGGGGTCGCCGCCGCCGCATCGACACGACGCGGGCCTGCCGTCGGACTCCGGCGGGCGCGGTGGGCAAAAATGAGGGGCGGAGATCCCCGCGAGGGAGTGAGGGGGAGGCTGTGGGGATGAGGAGCCCACGTTCATCAGAGGACGAAGTGGGGAGGGAGTGAGGAGGGGGGAGATCGCCAGGACGAAGCCGAGGTTCGAGGAAGCGGGTTCCATTGTTTGTCCAAACCCTTCTGTGATGGGTTCTCGTTTTGAGAGCACTGCTCGCGCGCCTTCCCCATCCCTTCCTCGTCCTTCCTCCTTTCTCCTCCTGCCTCCTGCCTCGTGCCTCCTCCTCCTCCTCCTCCTCCTCCTCCTGCCTCCTGCCTCCTCCTCCTCCTGCCTCCTGCCTCCTGCCTCCTGCCTCCTGCCTCAGCCTCCTCCTCCTCCTCCTCCTCCTCCTCCTCCTCCTCCTCCTCCTCCTCCTCCCCCTCCTCGTCCCCCTCCTCCTCCCCCTCCTCTCCTCTGTTCCTGCCTGGACGGAGGCGGCTCCCTGGGAGGCTGCCAACTGCGCAACTGTCGCCATGTGCGTTGAGCCCATGAAAGGTCCAGCGGGGTGGACGGCCGCGTGCACCCAGACGGGACCTGGCGGCTCCCTGGGAGGCTGCGAACTGCACAACTGTCGCCACTTTCGTGGGCTCCTGGGAGGTGTGGCGGGGTGGGGGGCCACGCGCACCCAGCGGAAACCTCGCGGCTCCCGGGGGCTGCGAGCTGCGCAACTGTCACCGCTCTCGTGGGCTCTTGGGAGGTCCACTGGAGTGGAGGGCCATGAAGCTCCAGCCGAGACCTCGCGGCCCCCCCTGGGGGCCGCGAAAGGACGCAATTATCGGCGCTTTCGTGGGCTCCCGGGAGGCGCGGCGGAGGTGGGGGCCACGCAGATCCACTCGAGACCTCGCGGCTCGCCTGGGGGCTGCCAAAGGGCGCAGCCGTCGCCGATTTCGTGGGCTCCTGGGAGGTAGGGTGGATGTGAGGGCAGCGCAGATCGTGAACATCTGGCGATGCGTTGTGTTGTATGAAGCGCTCAAACAAACATTCGCCTTGCGTGGAGAAGGGCTTGGGTATGTCTCAGGTAAGTTGTTCGATTAGTTGTTTTCTCTCTCTCTCTCTCTTTTCTCTCTCTCTCTCTCTCTCTTTGGGGGCCTCCAGGCTCCTCAGCACCACGGCCGGGTTCCCCGCAGCATACGGCCCAGCAAGCACCACAGCTTCAGGGGCCCGTGCAGGCGGGGTTGCCAACAAGCAGGAGGTCCGAGCCGCTTGACCTGCCCATGCTCACCGATCCGGGGAAGTGTCCCCCGAGGATTTCCCCGAGCGCGGGATATACACACTTCCCCGCGCGCTAAGGGCGGCACGTGCCCGTACGGTAAAGAGGGAAACCACTGGTGAACCCTCCTCCTCTCCACCGAAATTTAAGGCTTGCACGCGCGGGGAAGACTTGGGTCGAGTGGCAACTCACGAAACCCACCGCCAGCGTTGGTCATTGGGGGGAGCATCGAGAGATGAATGTGGCATGCAGCACGAAAAACACGAAGCGCGCCCGAACACATGGGCACCGTCGAGGGTGGTGCTTGCTGTGGGTGCGGAGCCAGAGCGCTGGAGCGTCAGATAACGAGGACCGATCGGGAAGTCTGCTCGATCTTGGTCCAAAGCTCCGTGATGGCAACTTCCAGTAGTATCTTGCCCCTGGGGCTGAAGATCTTGCCCTTGAGGCTGGAGGCCCTGGGGATGAATGTGGCATGAGTGTTCGCAAAACTTCTCCCAAGGCCTGCATCCTCGGTATCCGGCGCCCCGCAAGGTCCTCGGGGGAAGTGTCCCCAGCTCGGTGGATATGGATACGCCCCTTGCGTGGAGGAGGGAGGGGAGCTAAGGGCGACAGGCAAACTGTAGGCTGCGATTGGAAAGCCTACATCGATGAGCTGAATGGAACGACACAATAAACATCTGAACACCCGACAGTACGAATGGCGCAGCTTCCCACAGCGGCTGATGCTGCAGGTGTCTCACACTTGGGCAGGAGAAGGAACTGAGGAATGAGACGCAAGAGGGGAAGAAGCAGTAGCAGCAGACGCAGGAGGAAGGAAGGAAAGGACGAGGAGGGCGGGCTGCCCGCGAGGCATGCGGGCTCACAGGGGTGGGAGGAGCTCGTGGGCGGGTGGGCTGTTCTGGCAGCGAGGACCCGGAAGACGAGGAAACGGGATCACGAGCCACTGCAGAAGCGCGGCACTCAGCGGTGAACCACGGTGTCACTGTGGCGGACCGACGTCTGGACCAGCGAGTAGTCCGCGCCCGACAGCACAGCCTTCGCCTTCTTGAGTGAGTCAACCTCGCCAGCGCGCGCCTCCTTGCGCACCTCGAAGGTGGAGATGAGCCAATCGCACTCCATGTGAAGATCCTTGATCTCGACCTCCTTCAGGTACGCCTCTTTGGTGGTATCCTTCGCGTCCTGCTGCAGCTTGATCAGGGCTGCCTCCAATTCAGCCTTCTCGCCGCTCTTCTGCTCGGCCGACTTCGAGTCTGCTGCGCGCTTCTCGCCAGCGTCTGCAATGAACTCCTCGTACTCCTTCTGGGCATCCTTCTCCTCCGTGGTCATCATGGTCATCTCCTTGTCCAGGTCCGCGATCAGCAGGTCCATCATCGCGATGACGCCACCGTGCTCTTCGTTCTTCTTCGCGTAGGCACTCCACGTCTCTGGCGGCGGTCCAGGGGAAGCTTCCTGCTGCTGCAAGGACATCTCCTCCGAGATGCGGCCCATGGAGCTGCGCTCCTCCTGCGCCGGGGGCTGGTACATTTTGGGAGCATAGAATTTGGCGAGGCGATTCTTCGCCATCTTCAAGATGTCCTTCGCGGCACCGTCCTCCTGCATGGTCTTCTTGTAAAGCGCGTTCTCGTCCTCGCGGGCGGTTGTGGCCTCCTTGACCTGCGCATCGAGGTCACTGATACCTTTCAATAGGGCCTTGATCTCCTCCGCGAGGGTGGCGATGCTCTCTTCCGTATCGTCGATCGCCTTTTCGAGGTCACTCAACTTGATGTCGAGTGCCTTCTTCTCGTCCTCGGCGGTGTCCAGCTCCTTCTCGCAGTACGCCTTTTTTGCATCGTCGGACGCCTGCTCTTCCCCAAGCAGCGCCACCATGCTGTCAATCATCTTGAGGACCTTGTCGAAGCTCTTGGCCCCGCCTCGCAAGGTCATGGCGATGAGCGCCACCCGGGAGTCCTTCGCCTTCGCGGACCCGAGGGCGTGAAGCGCGCTGCGCTGCACCTCCTTGCTGGTCACGAGCACCTGCATCAGGCTGGGCGCCGGCAGGGTCTTTCTGAAAAGCTCCAAGGCGTCGTCGTCGTTCAGAATCTTGATGGTCTCGTGGAGGGCAAGGAGCTCGTCCGCACGGGTTTTCGAGCGCTCTTCCCACTCCGCCGTCTTGGTGCCGCAGCCTTTGTTGAGCTCTGCGAGGAACTTCTTGTCCTCCTCGAGAGTCTTGCTGGTATCATCGATGTCCTCCTCCATGTTGACGATCTCCACGCCGAGCTCGCCAGAGCTGTGCAGCTTCTGCTCGATGGCCACGGTGAGGGCCTCGATTTCAGCGGTCTTGGCTTTGGAGAGGGCCTCGAAGTCTTCGATGGCCTTCTCTTCCGTCGACGTCGCGTCCGCCAACTCCTGGGCCATGGTGTCCTTCATCTGCTTCAAGATTCCCGTAATCTGCCCGCTCTTGGGCGCGTAGCCGTTGGAAGCGCCCTGAGATAGGAACGACGTGAGATCGTCGCGGTCAACAGACGACATGTCCGCGTCCACCGCGAGCTGGCGGAGCGTGCCAGCGGCGGTCGTCTGCAGGAACGAGCCAGCCATGCCGCCCTCGATCGCCTTGATGGCGGCCGCCAGGGCTGAGAGGTTTGTCTCCAAATCGCTCTTGAGCTTGGCGTAGAGAGTGGCCTCCTTGGACCTCAAAGCCGAGGCCTTCGCGAGGGCGTCCTTGCCCTCAGCGCGGTCCGCTTTGTGTTTCTTGATGTCGGAGTCGAGCTGCGCCTTCTTCGACTTGGCCTCCTCCAAGGCAGACGTCACCTTTGGGATCTTCTCCTCTGCCATTGTGATAGCTGTCTCGAGCTGAGATTTGCCAGTAGTGCAATCCGCCAACCCTGTCGCCGTGTGGAAGACGCTGTTGTGTTTGACTCGTCGTCGTCGTCGTCGGTGTCGTCGTCGTCGCCGTCGTTGTTGTCGTCGTGGCCCGTCGCCGATCCCGCTCCCCCGCCTTTTACTAGGCCCTCCTCCTCAAGCGAGCCAGCCAACGCGAAACCAAAGCGAAATTGAGCAACGTCGTCCTTGAGTCGAATGGAAGCCCCTGCCTTTTCATCCCCTCCCCGATCAGGGGGGGGAGGAAGTAGAGCCCGGGGTCCCGAGGAGTTCCCGGGTTAGAGTACCATCCCCCCCAGGGGTCCCCGGGCTGACAAACGCCCCAAAACGGACTCAGAGTGCCCCAGAGGCCCTAAAGATGGCCCAAGAGGGCCTCCTCCTTCTCCTCCTCCTCCTCCTCCTCCTCCTCCTCCTCCTTCTCATCTCTCCCCCCTCCCGCCCCATGTCCCGAGCCTGTGGCAGGGCCATCAGGTCTTCGTCGTCGTCGTCGTCGTCGTCGCCGTCGTCGTCGTCGTCGTCGTCGTCTTCGCGTCGTCGTCGTCGTCGTCGTCATCGTCTTCGTTCTTCAGGGCCGGCGGCACCGGTCATAAGCCCTCCACAATAACACATGAATTTCTTGTACAGCTCCTTTTCCTTTTCGCCATCTTCCACAACCTGCTTCTGCATCGCCTGAAGCAGCCTGACCACGCGCCGGATTGGGTTCGCGCTGCTCTCCGTGCTCGTCCCCGTGCGAGCCGTCCTGACGGCCCGCGCGCCCGTCAAGGCCGCCATCAGCACAAGCGCGCGGAGAACGGCAGACATGGCCGCCACGGGGCGAGGGTCCTTCGTTGCACGTTCGGGTGATCACGGGCCAGTGGCTGGCGTGGCTGACCTCCTCGTCTTGAAGCAAAATGGCCACGGAGGAGGGGAAGGAGGAGGAGGAGGAGGAGGAGAAGGAGGAGGAGGGTGGATGATGAGGGGGAGGGAGAGGACACGAAACTCCAACGACTCCGCCGAGAACACGATGAAACCACGACTGGAAAATGGAAAACGCAAAGAGTGGGGAAGGGGGGGAGGAGGAGGAGGAGGAGGAGGAGGAGGAGGAGGAGGAGGAGGAGGAGGAGGAGGAGGAGGAGGACGAGGAGGAGGAGGAGGAGAAGGAGGAGGAATAGTGATACTCCCCACTCGCTGGAACCCTGCGGCTCTGTAGAATCTGATCGTCACAGCCGTCGCCACAGCCGTTGCCGTCGATGTCGCCGTCGCCGTCTCCGCCGTGGTCGTCGATCGTCGAGGATCGACGGGTCGAAGACCGAAACTGTTGGGCGTTTTTTCTGTTTCGTTTTGAACCTCCTGGGGCCTCAAGCCCCCCAGGAGCCCCAGGGCAACTCCAAGACCCCCGTGGGGCCTTCGGCTACTCCAGCACATCGGAAGCCTCCAGGGAGGGAGTGCGCTCCGCGGCATCCTCGAGGCTTTCGTCCTGAGGGACAACATCTATCGAGCGCTTGTTCGTGATTTTGGGCTGGCTGGCGTGCTTCGTGCTCTCGAAGCTTCTGGAGGTCTCTTGCATCCTGCTCGACGTGCTCTTCTCGGCGGTGGCGGAGGAGCAGCTGCTTGATGTTCGGTACCAGGCGCGGTCTCTGTTTAAAAAAGGGCGGAGGCAGATGGAGGATTTCTGACGGGGCTCAACCACTGACAGTCACACGCATCAGTGCGACCAGCGCCAATGTACAGTGAGCAGATCGAGGCGGCTAGGCCTTACCAAAAACAGGGCATCGGCGTCACGAGGGCGGGGAGGAGAAGGACGAGGGGAAAGGAAACGTCAGACATATGAGGATCGATGACTTTCGATGTGCTTGACCCATGGGTGAATACTGTAGGTTCGTGCAGCGTCGGCGCGCGCCAAAGTTTTTGACCCCGCATCAATCGTTCAACCTTGAGTCGATCGCGGCCCCGATCGTTCAATGTTGCATTCCGTCGGGTCCTGTGGCGTGCCCCTCTATGCTTCCGCATCGTTCTACCATGCGGTTTTCCCGTGCGCCACCTGTGACGCAAGGGCGCAGAATTCATCGGGGATCTACTGATCTAGGTCAATCCAAAACCATGCCAGTCAAGCTTTGCAGGATCCTGCAGGATCCTGAAGGCAAGCCCGGGTCAGTACACCCCTGGCCCTGCAGGATCCTGCAAGCTCTGGCGCTCTGACTGACCCCCGTTTGCATCGACCCCCCCTGAGATCCGACGTTGCCGCAAAGACTGCATCACCCCCCCCAACAAAAACATGACCGGACCCCCAGACCCCCAGATCCCATCTTCCTGTGTCATTTTTCGAACCGGATCGATCTGTGAGGTCCCCGGGGCCCAAAATGGAGCGAAAATGACAGGCTCGAAAAACTAGAGTCGCCAGGATCTCAGGGCCTGTCTCTTGAGCCCCAAACTCAGACGTGAACACCTTCGCCGGCGTCGCCAGCGCGGCAAGGCCACACGATCCCAGCCGTGAGCGAAGGAGTGAGGCATCGCCGTGGCCAGCGCGGCAGGCAGCCCGAGGGCAGGAGGGCTGGGAGCAGTGCTGGGAGGAAGACTCTCGTGCTTGCACACAGAAAGAGAGAGAAGGAGAGAAAGAGAGAGAGAGAGAGAGAAAGAGAAAACATATATATATATATATATACATATCGATACATGCATACAGTGAAAGGAAGCATGCGTGCAAGCACGCGTGCATGCATACGTGTATTGTATACATACATACGCCCATATATGCACACACGTACATACACACCAACGCACATGCATACACGCATACATGCATACGTTCATGCACATACATGCATGCGTACATTCATGTACAAACATACATGAATTCATACCACACATGCAGACACCCATACAAACATGCATGCATACATGCATGCATACAATATACACACATAATCACAGACATACATACACACATACATACATAGTGGCATGAATATATACAAGTATCTGTTCATGTACACTTACATGTACGTACACGCACAACTATGCATTAGACATGCGCGTGCCGCTAACCACACATGTACACCTACATACACATATACACCTACATATACGTATAGGTATACATATACATATACACGTTCAAAACTGTACACATACACATTCATCTACATGTATATATATAAACACGAATGCACGCACATACGCGCATACACATACATATGCATATGCATCTGAATATGGATAAGCACATAAACATACATATAATCCTGTGTTCCCGGTACTAGTCCCCTGGAAAAAAGGTTCGGGGGCCTGGCGGAATAATCCACGATTTGCCGGCGAAGGTGATGATGATGATGATGGTGATGATGATGATCCTGGGCGCTCGTGTAGACTGACCTTGTAGATCTTGGCACAAAACTGACTTGAGAGATTTCGAGTCTCGTGGCTACAACGTGCCCACGCAAGAGATGTCCTTGGCGCTCCTGGCGAAGAAACCTCTCTTGCTCACGACCTCGAACCACTCGCCGATGCAGGCTCGGCACCCTTTGGAGCCGCCCTTGCACGGGAGGCACTTGGTGTAGGCCAGGGCGGCAGCGCCTGCCTCCTCGAAAGTGGCGTCCTTCGGCTCGAGCAAGTGAGAATCCCATGGCTGAGAAAATGAAAACCCCATAGCCCTGCCGCACGTCCGTGACCAGGGAAAACTGATATGGTGAGAATCCCATAACCCTGCCACGCGATCGTGATTGCGGAAACTGACATGGTGAGACCACCATTGCCATGCTCAGCGTTTTTTGATGCTGTTGCTAGCCAACATAAGATGATAGCATCGTTGATTCGCAACTTCCCCCGGTGGTTATCAAGTTCGGCCTCCGCGCCCCTCTCCACACGTAAATCTTATTGACACGGGAGAATAAAGATACAGGGGTTAAGGGGGCTGCATTCTTATCCAGGGCACAGGGTTACCCATACATACAAATACACATATACATAGATGTTCGTGCACATCTGCATGCATGAATGCATGCATGTATGCATACATTCATACAGACAGGCAGACCGACCGACAGACAGACAGACAGACATACAGACATGCATGCATCCAGACATATTCTTACATATATATATACAGATCTATACACATATGTATATACATAGATTTATATATATACACATGTACATGTATTCAGATACCTTCTCGAGGTCCCAAGAGGTCCCCCAGAGCCCCCACCCAAAACCCATGCGGCCCCCAAAACGTCCAAAGAGACCCAAAACGGCGCCCAATAGGCTTCAAAACTGATTCAACCAAAAAAACAACGAGAGCTCTCACACGACATCCCCGCGAACATCTCAGATACTTCATATCACCCAGATATCCAGCACAAACATCCAGCCGCCCCCGGATCGGCAGCATTGTTCGGAGGCCATTACGATATACATATATGTATATATACACACACTCAAAATGTATGCTACGAAATCTTCCAGTAAGGGATTGAGATCCAGTTTCGCTGAATGTCTTAGCCCTCTTGTGAAAGCCAGCTTTGAAGCGTGCAGATTCTTGGCGCAACGCGGCACCACTGGTGGTTTTGATAAAGATTGCGCCGGTGATGATGCCGATTGCGGGGCCAGGGGCGCTGCAGCAATGTATGAAACACAGCATGCAGGAACATGTGGAGAAAGATGTGGCGGGGGATCTGGACGAAGACCGGCGGGAGATCTCAAGGAAGATCTGGAGAAAATTTTGGGGAAGATCTACCAGTAGAAGAGAGATCTCGAGGAAACCTCGGTAAAGATCTGTGTGAAAATCTGGAAGCAAATTTGGAGAAGATCGGGGGGAAGATCTGGAGGAAGATCTGGAAAAAACATCTGGTGGAAAATCTGGGGGATATCTAGAGGAGAAATCTCGAGGGAGACCCGGGTGAAGATATGGGTGAAGATCTGGGTGAAGATCTGGGTGAAGATCTGGACGAAGATCTGGGTTAATATCTGGAGGAAGATCT